ATTCATGATACGAGAGCTTCAGAAAGAGAGCGACTCTCCGGTGTAACGCCTTTTACTGTAGCATCATACTGACATATCATGAATTAAGAGTGAGAATGAAGGGAAAACGCCAAACACGTGACATGCTGACACGTTAGACATGAACAAAGACGTATCAGCTTGTCAGTAAATGTGTGCACATGGTATCGCATTACACATGGCCATGTATGTACTGTATGTCATTCACAGTGTGTTGTATGTACATAGTTTAAAAAATCATGCATGTCTGAAACTGTACATGGAAAATGAAAGAATATTTAAAAAAGTGAGCACTGTGAACAACTTTCTACTCTAGCAGGCAGACTGTTAGCTACATGTGAGCAGGTTCTGATATGAATCAGCTCTAGTGCCATCATTTAGCTCAGTACAGAGACTACAACATAAACTGGAGTTGCTTAATGTACAAAAATCCACATGTAGTCAATGTATCCTGTAACAAACTGGACCAAAATGTGATGAGATCAGAGGGCGAATTCTCTGGTTTGCTTCAGATCTCTTGAAGGGCTGAGGGGGTTTTAGTGGGAGTGAAGAAAGGAGGAGGTCAGATGAGTTGCACAGGGACACTGTGCCGTTAATGCCACTTATTTTGGTGTCCCCTATTACTAAGTTTACACTGTGCTCTGGACAGGAGAAGACAGAGAAAAGGTGTGTTTTAAATGTCTCCTATCACGCAGCAACATGTGCAGGGACGCTGTATATTTGAGGCTTTTACATGAATACACTGTGTTCAGAGTCTGTTAATGAGGCAAACTATGAAGCAGCGGTTCCCAACCTTTTGGCCTTAACCCTTAAAGCTCGGTCCAGATATGGGTCTGCATGAGCCTACGAGCTCTGAGCATTTAGACCAAGTTTTTTTTCTTTCATTGCACTTTTTGTGTTTTGCTCTAAAGCCAGCATGTGTTTGGAGCTATGTTTCCAAAAATATCTAAATTGTGAACATTTTTCATGTTGCATTCATATATGGTCATAAGTATGTTACTGAACTGGATCTATATACCTTATTTTCTTTATCCAAACGTACACCTGGAGGTTTCTATTGGAAATCTGCTGCTCCATACAGATGTTTTTCTGTGGAGCTTTGTTTTTGTTTGTTTGTTAAAATACTTCAGTATACTGCCCTAAAAAGAGGTGACATGATGCAGGTCTTCCCCAGAAAAAGAATTTGTTAATCGTCTCAGAATCCCTTTTACATGAATCTTGTGACTGCTTGAGGACCAGGTTGGGAACCACTGGTGTAGAGAACAAAAACGGGAGTAGCGCTCGTAGTAGAGTAGGTTAGACTCTTTTCCATTTATGCAGACAAACAGGTTATTGTGTGTTGTTACGTGTGAAGCAAAGTGCTGGTGTTAATATTTAGGGATACGGTGTTTTTTTGTTTGTTTGTTTACACTTAAATGTAGAGTATAATAATATGCAATCCATCAGTGCCCAGACCTTTAACCTGAGCACCTCTGTCACTCAAAACCAGGAGTAGAGTTGTGGAGAGCATCCTTGTGCTGAGGTCTCATTTGTTCCTGTGTATTTCAGAATAATGTTTCAGGCGTCCACTCTGAGGACAACATCAAAAGTCCTGGAGTACAAAGACAGATGTATTGAGACATCTGAGAGGTTCTGCCTGTGCATCTTTCCAGTTCATACTTTATAAATCTGATGCATCTGTTTCAGATTAGTTTTGCAGTCTGAGCTTTAAAAGTCTTTATTTCATCTGTTATGATGTAGTGGGTTAAATATTTGGACAATAACATTGGTGTTTTTGTATGTGAAGTGAAAAACTTGCACTAATTTTGTGTCAAATATCTTTATTTACTTGTATTATATATTTATTATTTTTGTATTTGTTCTGTTTACAAAGTTTTTTTTATTTATTACAGTGTTTTTACATGTGATCAATTAATGGATTTGCATTACCCCAAAAATATTTATTAATTTTATATCTGGACTGAGAAATCTACCAAATGTGTGTGCCGACCTTGTTCTGTGCATTTCCAGTGCTGTCGTTCCATAAATCTGAAATTGCAATGTTGCTGTCATGTCCATCTTTATCCATATTTGTTGTTGGTCATTACACTGATACATAAGCCACTGTTGTGAAAAACAAATGCAAAAAAGCCTGTAATGCAGAGATGTAATTAAATGCTTAGAAAACCCATGTTTTATTCTTTCTTATTTTATTATACTTTTACTTTTTTTTTAAGTAAAAACTTTTTTTCTGTACAACAGCAACAAACAAAGTCAGCGGATGAGACTGAAATAATGCATCAGAATTTCTTAACAGTGGAAAAATATTACATAAAATATTAAATTAAATACATACAGAATTGCGATGTATGTATTCCGCTGTTGAACCATTTAAACTGAACCCCGCTGCAAGATGGCGGCAGAGACGCATCTCATAAATCGGATATCCACAAAGAAGGAGAGGCGGGGACTCGCTGTCATTGGTCTTCTTTTAACCAATCGCAACACGTGCCCAGTACAAACAGGAAGTAAGGCCGAATTCTGTGGTTCGCATATTTTTGTGGAGCCTTGTCTCTTTGGCATCAAAGAAACGAAAACACACAGACATCGTCAGCGTGTAGTTGGAGGAGACACAATTACAATGTCCCAGTGAAGGTAACAGATGAATGTCATGCGTTCATAATGTCATAAATCCTCTCTGGCTCTGAAGTTGGACACCCAAGAGTTCATGGAGTTTTTAAAAGCTGATTTTGCTCAGAAATGTTTGTGGACCTTAATTTATCGCAGTAAACCGTATTTGTTGTCAAATGAACAGTTAATGCTTTGTAAGACGTCACTTCCCGTGATTGTGTTGTGAATTGTTTGTATTAGTAAGCTGGTGGGTTTTTTACGACACATTTGTAAAGTATACACGTTTCTTTGTAGTTTTAACTAAATATTTGTGGAAATATTACACATGGAAAGTATCAAGAACATTTACTGATTTACCAATTTAAACACAGGTCTGAGCAAATATTTCCTGTTTCTGCTACTTTGTACTTCTACTTCACTAAATTTCATATTGTACTTTTTACTTCACTACATTTAATCGACTGCTATAAACAGTGTTTACTTCCGTGATTAATAGTTTACATGAAACGTAGGATGAGCTTATAAAATAGTTTTTGTCACCTTTCATGTCTGATGTGTCAATTTAAAAATAGAAAGGAAAAAAGCTCTGAAATAATTGTATTTAGTTTAAAACGGTTTGAGCCTCAAAGAGATAAAGTTATTAACTGTACTTAACAAAAATCAAACGTTAGCAGATAGTTTTTCTTCCTCATCACTGGGACCTGAGCTCCAGGCTGGGAATCACTTAACTGACTGTTTCTTAACAATACTTCTACTAGAATACTACTTATACCTAGTTCAAATGTAACGTTGTAATACTTGATAATGTAATTTTCTGCACAATGAGTACTTTTACTTTGATGCTTCAAGTACACTTTCTGGATCATCCTGCTTGACCTTCATTTAAGTAGGATTTTGGTAAAGGATCTGATTACTTCTTTAACCACTGTTAAACATCCCGTACGTGTCACCTGACATGGTGTCACTGAATACTGCTGCTTGTTGCTGATGACCTCTTTCAGAGGGAACAGGGCCCCAGCGCGTCTCCTCCTGCAGCTCAGCAGACATATCTGAGATTCCTGGAGTCACAGGGTGCAGTCACATGGTTTTGCTCTTTACTTACTGTGAGGTGATTTGTAATCTTTTACTTAGCTCATCATCTTAACCACTTGTTTAACCATTTTATTTAGGTTTCTTTACAGTGTTCAGTATATTAGCAGGACCTTTACAGTTGCACCACGGGACGTTCCACTGTCTCACTGTTTTTGAGTGTACTTAAGATAACAGTTGCCATACACCAAGAATAAGATGAACATGTGAGCAGACGTGTATATTGTAAACATGACCTTTAACCTTGCTTGTGCAACTTCCTAAGAGGCCCCAAAGTCTGTGTTTGTAGCTCTGTAGAATGTGCTGCATGAAGTCAAAGGTAACTAGAATGGACTGCCTGAGATGAGAGCTCTGGAGCCCTGGGCCTTCTTTCAGCATTCATCCATTCACTTACAGTCATGGAGAGTTACTGACTGTGCTGTGGTGAACATTAACCCATGAGTTCCAGGGGCTGAACTTGTTTGGTTCCAGATATTGCACTGTTTGTTGATGTTAATACTGCTGTTTTGTTATATTACACAGCCTTATGCTGGTCTACTGTTTGCACATTGAGAGCCGATGTACCAGAGTCAAATTACTTGTGTGTCCGTCACACCTGGCCAATAAAGCTGATTCTGATATAATGATATAATCGACTGTATGTGGCTGCACCAGTCATGCTCCTTGTGTCACACCTGTGCAACGAGAGTTTATACTTGTTGTTTTCTGTGCAGGCTGCCATGGAAGTAAATGTTCGTCTCTGGCTGTGATGAATCCCAGCGCCTCATCGGCTCGATCTGAGGGCCAGTGCCCTGTGGATGATCTGATGGATGACTGGCTCTTCCTGTCCTCTGAATCAGTCCTGGAGCTGGGCAGTGATGACCAGGGGGCAGAGGACAGAGGCAAACTCAGATCCAAGTTGGTCTCAGCATGGAACAGTGTCAAATATGGTCAGTGTTATCTTAAGCATTAACTTTATTGCCAAGTATTATCAAAAATACAAGGAATCTGACACCAGCCCAATGGGCCTCGATGTGCACAACAATATAAAAACTATATAAGACCACAAGTAAAAAACTAACTGTCCATCAGAGCGACAGCCTGGGGGAAGAAACTGTCCCTGTGCCTGGTTGTCTTGGTGCACAGTGACCTGTAACACCGTCCAGAGGGAAGGAGTTCAAACAGATTGTGTCCAGGGTGTGAGGGGTCAGCAGTGATCCTCTCCACCCTCCTTTTGACCCGTGAGGTGTACAGGTCCTCCATGGAGGACAGGCTCACACCAATGACCTTTTCTACAGTCCTCACTGTCCTCTGAAGTCTGTACTTGTCCTGTTTGGTTGCTGAGCCAAACCAGACAGTGATGGAGGTGCAGAGAACAGACTGGATGATTCCTCTGTAGAACTGGATCAGCAGCTCCTGGGGCAGATTGAACTTCCTTTAATTAAAATGTGAGCCATGTGCATACAAGAATAACAAGGTCAATGTGATGATAGGATGATGATAGGAGCACATATGCAGGCTGAGAACATCTGGTTTAGTTTGTTCACTTGTGGAAACAGGTCTGAGTCAGTGGGAGGGAAACTTCAGCTGAGATGTGAATGTATCTAAACTGTTTCTCTTTTTAAATGTTTTAATCATCAGGCTGGTCCTTGAAGCAGAAATCCAAATTCAGCAAGAATTCTGCAGTGATCATGCTCGGAAAGTCGTACGAGCTCAAGGACAAAGGTGAGTCTTCCTAACTCTCTAATTACAGGTCAGAAGTTTCACACTTGCATTCAAACAAAAAGAAGTCACCACTTTAGAGCGCCAACCCCAAACATTTGATTCATGTTACACAATTTGAGGGTAACAATACAAAGTGTACGTAGATAAAAGCTGAAATTCAGAATTTGCTAATGTTCCAAAATTTCACATCATCAAAATGGAGTAATTGGACTAAACGAACTAACAGAGGGGAAAATATACTGAAGTGAAAGGTGGATGTAAACTTCTGACCTCAACTGGGTCTCATTACTGTGATTCTAAAAGCAAGGAAGGCATTTTTAATCCAAGATGTGCAACTGTGTCAGAGGAGAAGGAGCATTTCCGACTCTCCTTCGCCTCCCTCCTGTGGCTGACATACAGACGGGGTTTCCCTCCACTGTCTGGCTGCTCTCTGACCACCGACAGCGGCTGGGGTTGTGTTCTACGTACGGGGCAGATGCTGTTGGCACGAGGCCTGCTGCTACACCTGATGCCACCAGGTGACAACACATCATCAAAATGCAGTGTTACACAAAATGCATAGTCCACTGAATGAACAGGGACAGAAAGGCCCCCCCGACCTCTCGGGCCCCTGAGCCTGCAGTAGGCCCACTCTCTAATCCTTCCATGACCTCCAGAGATGTTGTGGCGTCACAGTAGCTTTTTCAATTACAGGAAACAGTTTGGAAAGTTAGATTTACAGTGAGGTAAATAATCTCTTACTCCATCTTGAGGTTGGACCTGGTCCATGAGCCACCATGCTTTCAAAGATGACATGGACCTCGAGAGCCGCCCCGCACACAGCAGACAGAGTTTCCAGGAGGGGCCTCATAAGAGGACACAGAGCTTGGGGTCCCTGCTGGACAGACCAGTGGAGGTCACACACAGACAAGTGGTGTCATGGTTCGCAGACAGTCCCGCAGCCCCCTTTGGGATACACCGGCTGGTGGAGCTGGGAAGGAGCTCAGGGAAGAAGGCCGGGGACTGGTACGGTCCTTCCATTGCAGCGCATATCCTCAGGTGAGACCTGGAGTGATGACGCACTGGTCCAGGTGTCCTCACCAGCTGTTACCAAGGTGCCCCATCCTACAGTGACCCTAATTCTGTTTCAGGAAGGCTGTGGCAGCGTCAGTGGTCTTCCCTAGTCTGGTCGTGTATGTTGCACAAGACTGCACCGGTGAGTACTCTGTATCATCCGTGTGCTCTCTGATCGAAGGCCACAGACTCAGACACTCAGTGTTGTCAGCTCAGCAAATTTCTCACCAGGTTTTTGTGACATTAAAAAAACATTTGGTCAAAAAAGCAAATACATCACAAATCCAGCAAGTTTCGGAGCCGACTGTGAATCTCCGTTCACATCACAGGCCTCAGGGTTTGATCTTATTGTGTTGATGCTGCACGGTCATGTTTGTAAGTGACGTGTATAAAATGCACCAACAGACATCAGCACACTCACCTTCCTCAGGGTGTCCTGGCAGCGGTGACGACAGGCTGTGTGTGCAGAGGAGGAGACGTTAAACATCCACGAGTTCTGATCTGTCTGTTCTGGCAGCGTACGCACACTCGGAGGTCGGATAGGAATCGGTTGCAAAACGTTTTCTGAATTCTATTTAATTGTATTGTTTTACATTGTGGTTATATACAGTATGTGATTTAAAGTGTTGTGTGCGTTTTGTATTGTTTTACATTGTGGTTATATATGTGATTTAAACTCTTTGTTTTTGGTTTCCATTTTTTCAGTGTAGTGTCAGATGCTTTGTTGGGAGTATTAGGAAATGAGCCGCTCTACTTTGGTCTTTTAAACTGAACGAGCTTGAAGTGGAGAAGGATTCACTGAAGCACGTGGACATAAGTGACTTCTGTCTTTCTGTCTTTCTCTGTGTGTTCAGTCTACTTAGAGGACGTGAAGAGATTGTGTGAGCGGCCTCTCCCCCACCCCTGGAAGTCGGTCATCATCCTGGTTCCTGTGCGACTTGGAGGACAAGATCTCAATCCCATCTACATCACCTGCGTCAAAGTATCCAAGCTGAATTTTAATGCATTCACTCCTGTGTGCATTCTGAGTAAACCGAGCAGTTTATAGGAAAAGCTTTAAATGACTTTTGTGTATATATTATGCTGGTCTGTGCCATAGACCTCCACTGTTACCATTAAAAACACCAGTGAACCGAGCTCTGCTAGCGTCCCACGCTGACGTAACAATGTTATGGAGCCGTTTACTCACAGTTTGTAGGATTTGTGTAAAATAGCAAACAAACAAAATCCTTTGACTGCAGGCTTTCTTCTCCCTGTGTTCACCGGTGGCACTGTCCAGTACAAACTTCTGGTGTGGGCTCTTTGTGGTGTGAAAACTGAGCGAAAATGAGTGTGGTGAATGAACGTGGAACAGTTTTTTCCACTTTTTCCATAGAAACTCTTGATGTTAAAATGCTGCATTGGGATCATTGGGGGCAAACCAAAGCACTCCTTGTTCTTCGTCGGCTTCCAAGGTACGTGCGCTGTAGAGTCCACCATAATTACTGTGCTTGGCAGATCGGTGTCAGACCTTTCACTGTGTTTTGTCCCGCTCTGGCCCTACTGTGTGAAAGATGACCACCTGCTGTACATGGACCCTCACTACTGCCAGCCCACAGTGGATGTGACTGAGGAGAACTTTGCCCTGGAGGTAAGAGAAGCACCGCCTCTCCTGTTTTGTTTTCCACTGGGGTGCCTTCATCAACACTGCATGCCATGCTCCTGATGTGTTAGCAGGACGGTTTTTAACTCTTCATTATATAAAGGTGGATATTTTAAGTTTTCATACAGTTGAATTGTCGGTGTCGGTTTGTTTGACTTTCCATTTATACAACAGGAGCTTATTTTTAGCTATTTGACCGTTTATATAACTACTGTATTTCACTTTTCAGTGTCTGCCCAGTATTTTTAGATAACTTTTATCCATTAGTTTTAATAATTAATTTGTTAAATGTATCAATATTTTACCTTTTCAATCTATTTTTGTTTCAATTTTGACCTTTTATCTGTCATTTCTCACATATTTCAACTGTTTATGCATTGTTTTTATTTAACTAGTTCAAAATTCCTCAATTCTTCACAATGAATCATTCATTAGTTTTAGATATTTGAGTCATTTTTAGCTATTTTGACCATTTTTACACAACCTTTCCAAATATTTGTCTACTTTCTAATAAAGATTTCAACCATTTATCCTTTACTATTAAGTATTTTGACCAGTTAATACTTATTAGCTTGTTATTTAGACAGTCTGGGTGTTATAGCTGACTCTGGATGTTTTTATTTGTTACTGTGTGTTTGTAATTAGTTATTTTTTTCGTATTAATTCCACAGTCTCTTTATGCACCCAGGCTGGGAATTACTGGTGTAAACTATTTAACTTGGTGTAAATATTAATTATGACTTCCACATAAGAAGCTGTGGTATTTTGTCTGACTCTGCTGAGACTTTTCTTCTCATTAGTTTCCTTCTCTCCCACCACTTGCAGTCGTTTCACTGTAAATATCCAAGGAAAATGGCCTTTTCTCGCATGGACCCCAGCTGCACCATAGGGTTTTATGCTAAGGGCCAAACGGACTTCGAATCCTTGTGCACAGCTGTTAATAAGGTATGTCCACCTGTTAACATGACGCTGTGTGCTTTTTGAGCATATAATAAGATTTGTGACTTGCCTGATGACCAAATAAAAAATGAATTTGTAGAAGTGGTTCTGGATTGTCTCATGTCTGGTTGAGTTATTTTACAGCGTCTTTCTCCCACAGGCTCTGTCCACATCTGCAGACATGTACCCCATGTTCATATTTGCAGAGGGACACAGTCGGGAGGAGGAGGGAGACGATATACCCACCAACAACTTCACCTATATCCAGAGGAAGCATGAACGGAAAAGAGTCAACACAAGCAGCAGCACAGATGAGTTTGTTCTGTTGTGAACAGAAGACGATGCAGTGTGCTCTGAGGGCTGTTCACTGATCAATAATCTCATACAAAGGTGATACTGTGTGGAAATTACTGAGCGTCAGAACCAACCAGGTCCCTGTGGGACTCCTGAAATGTCTTCTACAGTGAAGGTCTCGAGTATCAGTGAAGACTACTGTGTTTTTATTGTTGTTTTCTGCTCATTCATCTTTTTTATTTGTTTGAGAGCAGAACATTTAAATGAATATAAAGGACCTTAAAGGCTGAAAGATGTTTGCCTGTTGTCTCAGCCCGTTTGCTTATCCATGTTCTGTTTACTTTAATCTGTTCTAATCAATAAAAATAATATAATATGACAGGATGTGCTGATGCTGAAAGGATTAGAAGAAGAAGACTTCAGTGGACAAACGGTCAAATGTGAATGTACTGAAAATATGAGCTGGATTATTTCTTATTTGAATAAGAATGATATACGTGAGAAAGGAGCTTGTTACAAAAACATTTAGTGCAGTGTTGGTTTTTACTGCTGAATGCAGACTGTAGTAAAATGGTTGGGATGGGAGGAGGGGCTGAATCGCTATTATAGTTTATTAAAAAAGCAAGGCCTTCTGCAGCAGCATTTATATTTTTTGGACTCTTCTCGGACTTAGAAATAATGGCAAACAATACAAAATAATGAAGTAGTCTGTTTTTTATCCATGCTACCAGCTTAGTTCTAGGAACACTGGTCAGCCCGTTCACTACTTTGGTCCTGGATGGCATATCTGAAAAACTACTGGATGGGTTGCCACGAAATTACCTTGTCCTGCTATGTCAAAACTATGGTGGCTCCTTTAACCTTTCAAAATTTAGATTAGTCTAATACTTTGTTTTGAAATTAGTTTGCCTCTGCCAACCAGTCAAAGTTATGGGAATAGCACAGATGTGGGGTCACTGTGACTTTGGTCAGTTCATCTCTGAGTCCAAGTGGACATTTGTGCCAAATTTAAAGAAATCCCCATAAGGCGTTCCTGAGATATGGCGTTCACAAGAACGGACTGGACATGCTTCTGGCTTCAGCTGTCAGCGGTGCAGAGGCATAAAAACGGGGAGCTGAGGTGTGTATAACCAACATTCAAAGAAGAGGGTTCACACACACAAACCAGCAAAAACTGCAGTAAATCGTTCACACAGTCACAGAAGCAGACAAATTATACAAATAGACAAAATGACTTCAGAATTCTGTTTAATTATCAAGGCATGGTCTTCATCTAATGTTGCAGCTGGTGAAGGTGGAGCTACATCACATCAGTGCTTCTGAGTGGTAGATCCAAGGAGTTCCTGAATGATATTTCATACTTTACCTGTTAATTATATTTTGTATTGTATTAATACTCTGAAACATAGTTAGAGTAACTACAACTGTTAGAAATGTACTGCAGTAAAAAGCCACAGTGGAAAAAGCACGAGTGTCATTAACTACTAGCTGATGAATTTAAGAATCAGCATCTGCAAAGTAATAAAGCTGTGAAATAAATGTAATGGGGTAAAAAGTACAATATCTCTAGCGAAGTATACAATAACATAAAATGGAAATAAATAAATGTTTAAATTAATTTCCACAACTGCTTAGTTGTGTTACAAGGCTAAAGAATGAGGGGCTGCTCACTCTTGATGCAACACATTTATTTCTGTAAATGACAAAATGCAGTACAGTCATCAGGAGTACACTCATCGATTACACCTTGGAGACTCGCTCATCCCGTACTGACTACCCTTCTTTGACTGGCGTCAACTACGGATGCTTCAGGCATCGGGCGCCCCCTGGTGGTGAGGCGGAGTATACGGGCATAGACAATCCTTTTCCTCTAACACACACTAAGCTAAGGAGTAAATAAACTTCGACAGTAGGTTCTTCAACAGCCCCACTCATCACAACAGTTCAAAATTAAATGGGGGGCAACTATCTTTATACTTAACAATCACACAGTGCCACACATATGTACAGTTTTGAGGTAGATGTGTTCTCAAGTTTTTCATGGCACAGCCATGTTGCTGCCTATAGAACTCTAAATCACAGGGCAGAGGAAGTACCCACAACTGCAGAAGGGGCCAAGAAGGAGAAACTCCACATCCAGAACTCCCTTAAGGCTTGTGGATACCCCAAGTGGGCCTTCACCAAAGCAAGGACAAACACATACAAACACATGTTGTTGGCACATAAGTGCGGTGTACATGAGCTTCTGCTGATTCAGCATCTCAGCTACTTGCGCCACTGTAATATAATCCTCTTCCGCCTCAACATCCTCGTTCGCTTCTGGTTTATTAGCTCTTTTCCCTCTTGGAGGCATTTTAATGGTTGTAGAGTTTGTTCAATGACTTGAAAATGTAGAAGATGTGAAAAATCGTAGAACAGACAAGAGGAGCAATAAAGACATCTGCTTTCACTGCAACCCGGAAGTCAGGACTTTAATTGCACATTGACTGTTGACTGCTGCACATGCTGCTCCCATGCAGCATACATTCTCTTCTTATATCCTTATATATTTTTATTATATTGCTGCATTTGCTGCTTAAAGTGCCTTAGATTTTGTGTTATTTATCTACTTTATATATCATTAGTATTTTGTGGCATTCATGTGGAAAGCAAAGTAAGAATTTCATTGTACAGGGAAACACGTTTCCTAACTGTGCATATGACAAATAAACACTTTGACCTTGACGGAGTCCAAGAGGTGAAACGTCTTCGACCTAGAAATCTAGTCCAGTTGATTTTTTCTAAGTTTTTTTCTGCTCCTTCATCCTGTGACTCCATGTCAGAGACAAACTGTGTACTTTTTACTACACTACATGTACCTGATACCTTCAGGTCCAGAACCAGATGAATCAAACCAAACCCAGTAGAACCATCAGACTCTATTGATCCCAGTAGGAAATCCACCAGCTACCCAGCAGGATGGAAAGTACTTCCCAGTATAAGTATATAAGGTAGTTACCATCAGCTCCACCTTTACCAGCTGCAGCATTAAAGTGATGGACACAGTAATTAGTCACTATGATCCAGTATCAGAGACGTTACTGGGACACGGGCTGTTCTGGGTGTTTTGTTCCTTCAGCTGGGCTACATATTGATGCTAATACTTTTGTATTTTTACTTAAATATATTTTTGATTGCAGACTTTTACTTTCTACATTGTGGTATTTGTACTTTTACCTCAGTAAAGTACCCCCATTGTAAATGAAAGCTCTCTCCACCACATCACCATCAACCCATGGATGTTAACAGCTGTCCCATCCCCCACGCCGGCTTCTCGCTCTTTCTTCCCCATTGTAAAGCAGCCTCTTCTGGGCATGCGAGAAGTGCGTGAGGCGTGAGGCGGGGGGCGCTGGAGAGCCGCACAGCTCGGTCCCTGCGATACTATCAGCCGAGAGGGGGGTGAAGGAAAAAACCCGACTGGAACATCGCTCTTTGTTTCTCGCTGGGAAAAAAAACCTAGAGACGTTGCAACCAGCGAGGAATCAAATACCACCTTTCAGCACTTGTGTAAGTCAGTTGTAATTTTAATATAGGATCAGTGAAGTTTTGTGTGTTTTCCGCTGCTATTGGAGGATAAATCTGCTTTTTGGGGTGTTCTGTGTTAGAGACCGACATCACAGTACCGGTACTGCGGCGCGACAGTGGGCAAATGAATGAAAATAGTTTTTGGACACGGAGCACTGAGCCAAGGGTACGGGAGGCGCGTTGGATCAATTAGCTCCAGCGACGAGGGATGAAGGATGCTCTCAGCGTTCACATGTGGCCTCATACATACATATCCCAGAATAACACTTTCTTTTTGGCTTAATTGGACCGGGAGAGCATGGCCGGCTGGGCTAGCTCTCTAGCCTGCTAGCCACCGTCTGCAGCTAGCTTATGTTGTTGTGTTACTAGAGGCTTTTAGCTAGCAGGCTAGTCTGAGCCGGGGTGGAGTTTGTTTTAGTTTTACCTTAAATTTAGAGTAACTTTATGGCTTAAGAGCTGCCCGATGAATATCGGCAAACTTGTGTCACATTATTAGATGGTAGCATGTTAAAACAACGGGTTTTAGTTGGCGTAATGTAACAAACTAGAAAAATCCGGCTAGGCCTGGCTAATGTTCGCAAAGCTAAGGATGCTAATAATAGCTAATTGTCAATTGTTTGAATGTGTAAACACTAAACAACTGGACTGAGACCGTTTTTACTCAGAGCAGCTGTTCCATCATCTTCTCAGATCTCTGTCTCTGTGTCAGAGCTGTTCAAATAGTGTCACCGAAGTTTTTCTCAGTTGTTTGACCCATGAAGTGACTGTTTAAACAACTCATTGGTGACCCGCTATGGACACTACATTTAGCAGATCGTGCTCCTTAGTTCCTGACCTCACTTTTACAAGTCAGACCTACTCAGTGGTCAGTTTATTGGGAACACCTGTCTCAAACTGAGTCAGTCTAACCCAACGGTGCTGCAGCAAATCCTCCTTCATGAAGATGATGTTCAGTTTGTGCTCAAGACTGTTTCACAGCGGTGTGTGGTCACAACAACTGAGTTTATGTTGCCGTTTTGACCAGGTCTCTCTTGAAAGAGAGAGATTCTAATTCAAGAGACTTCCTTGTTAAATAAAAACATCTGTACGTGGCATCAGTGTTGTAAATAAATGTTTCATTCATTGGCTGACCATCTGTCACATTTTTACTAAAAGCCTTTGGGAGTGCACATATTTAAAAGGAAGGTTCCCTCCACAACAACTTGAAAATCATTTTCCTCTTATTAGCTGTGATTTAGAGGTGTTGGCTGTTCTTCACACTTCAGTCACTGAGGGCTGTTTGGTGTGTAGTTTACACTTTGTAAAGCACCAAACAATTTAAAAAGGCAGCAGCATCACTTCCCCAGAGATGAGGTGCACAGTGATCCACAGACCTCAGTGAAAGCAGCTGAACACACCTACTGTTGACTGCACCATATACCGAATCAATTAATGTGATTAGATGCAGACATTAAGCAGTTAACTGGTTTGTTCATCGACAAAAATAAATCAGTTAGGCCTTTACGTGAATTATCAAGAAAAAAGGCCAACTTTTCTCTGATTCCAGTTTCTAATATGTGGCGTCTGCTGTTGCAATGTGTAATACCTTTGTAAGTAAAAGCTCTTAGCTGTGGCTGTTGGTCACATTTTTCACAGTCTTCTAACATCTTATATACAAAAAAAATCATAGATTAGTCAAAGATTATGCAAATGAATGAGTTGCTTGTGAAAGGTATCACTGTAGTTGGTGGTCGGAGTTTTCCAGGTGTGAAGGTTTTCCAGACTACTACCTTCAGGCCTCAGCTGATTACATCCAACCATTGTCTGAATAATTTGAGCATCATAAAACATGATTTATTTATCTATATTTTTTTAAATGTGATTGTGGACGGATTTGGACAGTTTTCAAAACCCCTATTGTCCCCTCACTCCCCAGGGGTAATTGCTGCTGCTGGTGCTGCTGCCACACATTCCCATTTTCCCCAGAGAGATGTCCACTCCTGACCCCCCGATGGGAGGGACACCT